GGATCCGCCTTCCCGCGCTCAGCAGACCCGCCCGGCTCCACGCAGGGCTCCCCGTGCCCCCCGCAGGTCCCGCCGGCCGCTCCCCGAGCGATCCCCACCCAGCACGGCCCCCTGAGCAACCACCACCCCAAACCTCTGGTTTTTCAGCCACAAACGAAGCTGTTCCCGGTTCCCGCACCCGGGACTGGGAGCCCTGGTGGGTCCCGTGCTGGGCCGGTTGGTGTCACACCCGCGGCACCGGTACCAGGTGCTTCAGCAGCCCCAGAAATGGGATTAAAAACCAAACAAACAAAAAACCAACACAACAAAACCCCCCAAAAAAGTAGATCCCCAACAAACCCCCAAAAGGTTTTGCTTCACTGTCCTGTCCAACTGGGAATTTTCATGCTCATGAGGCCAGGCCAGGACTGAAGGGACATTTTCTCCCCCTCAGCCCTTCCCGCAGCTCAGGCACCGGTGGCACCGACGTGTTTCTGCTTAGAAAAAGCTCTGACAGGACGGGGTGTGAGGGGCACAAATTCCCCTCCTCCCCACACTCGTGTTCACTTCCCAGCCATTTAAAACTGGGATGAAACCCGGTGTTTTCAGCCCATCCCTCCCTCTCACCTGAAGGAAAAGCTGCACGACCAGATTTGCCCTTGTTGGCACCAAAGTCTTTGTGTTTCTTGTGTTATGTGTTTAATTGTCATTACAGCTGGGGGGGGGGGAGGTTCATGTGTTAGTAACCTGGGCAGGGGGTTGTGCAACATGAATGTCTGTCCTACAGCAAGAAGGAACACGAGGAGCCCCTTGCAGGGGAGAATCCAGAGGCTTCACCTTCCCCTCAGCACTGGGATGAGTCACAAACACACATTCCAAAGGACACCAATCCTGTCTGATCTTCTTATCCTGCTCATCAGTGACTCAACTTTCCCCCCTCCCTGCACCAGAAATGCTCCATAAATCCAGCCCTCAGGTGCCAAAGTTCCTCTGGGCTCCCAAGGAAGCTGGTTTGGGATGTTCCAGCAGCTGAGGGAGGGTTGGCAGGATGGAGGGCACTGCCTGGGGGATCCCAGCTCTAAAGAAAATCAAGTTCCACACCAAATAAGCAGCACACTGAAGCTCGAGGGAAGGTGTTGCCACTGGTCCTGGGTTTTGTCACCAGAAGAGTTTCTACATTTCTTTACAGCCCTAAGCCCTGGGAGGTGGGAACGTGCTGCTTTGTCACTAACATGATGGGGTTTGTTTTCCAGCTCCCCTTGCCAAGGAGCAGCCTAGTGACAGCAAATTGAGACCTGGGGCCAGAGGGGAAGAGTCAGATTTACTCTTCTCCCCTAAAAATCTGCCTCTGGGGTGTAGCTCAAGCTCAGCACGGGCTGGGAGCCCAGGACATGGCACTGAGGATGTGCTGGGTCTTTGCAGCCTGCAGGGCATAGGGCCTGGAATGATGATGCTGGAGACTTCCTGCCTGTCATTATTCCAAGAACAGGCTAATTCATCTCCAGGTGGCTGCTGGGGTGGCAGGGCTGACCTCCAGGGATGCTGTGGCCATGGTCCCAGCAGCCCTGCACTGTTTGGAGGTGTCAGTTGGAGTGAGAAACAAAAAGAGCTGCCTCAGGTGGTCCTGCTGTCTGGCTTCTCCTGACTCCTGGAGCCCTGGAGCTCTGGAGCAGAGTGACCTGCTGGGGAAACACAAGTGTCTGAGTTTCCTGCTCTCCTCCAGTTTCCTGACACCAAACCCCAAGGCAAAGGGCTCAAGGGAGCTGAACCCTTCCAAGTCCATCTGGGTGACCTGGCAGCAGGTGACACCAGTGCCAGAGGGGACAGTGTGGATGGGGCTCAGGAGCTGAGCAGGCAGGAAAGCCCCTGCAGTGCTGCTGAGCCCCTCAGAGCTCCCCAGGCTCTGCCACAGCCCAGCTGGGAACACAGACCTGTCCTTGCACTTTGGAAAAGGCAGGATGACTTTTATGCAGTGTCTCCATGTCCTGGCCAAACAACCAGGTGGGTTAACAACCCCTTTTCTTCCTCTTCTCAGTAATCCTGGTGGCTCTGAGCCCCTCTCCTCTGCAGCCTGTATATTTTGTGTGATGTTACTCCCTCCTGATGTTTTCCCCTCCCATCCCTAAGACATGACACTTGGGGGATGCACAATTTGAGCACTGGATGGGTTGGAGGAAAGCTGCTCATTGCCAGGACTGTCCATCCCTGGCAATGGCTGTTGCCAGCAGGGATGGATTTGGCCAGAGAAAGCCAGTGGGTGCCCAGGAGGAGAGGCCAGGGCAGTGCCCAGCCCAGCCTCCCACCTGCTCCTGAGCTGCACAGATAGAACTGGATCAACATGTAATAAATATGGAACAGGCAGTCAGCAAGAAGCAGTGAGGATTCCTCCCTTCTTGGCCCTTTGGTTGTTACTAGGCAGGAGTATTTCTATAGAAGAGGGGACAGATGTGGGACCTGGGAGTCAGGTGGGTTGTTCCAGCCCAGCCAAAGCTTTAAGCTTTGGGAGACCCTGGCTGGGCAGAGGCTGCAGGTCTGACACTGGGACACCTCAGGGGGCAGTGCAAGCTGGGACACGATCTGTGAGCTTTCTGGTTTCCTCCTCTGACCCCTCCACGTTGTCCAAGTCTTTGCCCCAGCAGGATTCCTTGCCTTGCCAGGGATCAGTTCACTCCCAGCTCTGTCCTGCCCTCCGTCTGTGTTTGTATCCTTGGGCCTCTGTAGCTGGGGAGGACACAAAACCCCCCGTCAGCCCCAGGGGCTCCTCTGTGCCGGCTCTGCAGCCCCCTGAGACCCCCGCCCCC